CCATCGACATTATAGTTGTAGCACCCTATTTGATACATTTTTGTATCTTTTACTGAAATTTCCTTTATAGGATAATCATTGAGTTGAAGGTGGATATGACCCATATTTTTGTGGCTTTTTGCTGAATTTCCCTTTATAAAATAAATCATTTTTGTTGAGGTTATGGCCCTTGATAGAGCATAATAGTGGAACAAGAATCGTGTAGCTAAACCCAAATAGTTGGGATAAGGCTCTAATGATGATGAGGAGGTTGATAAATCATCGTAAGTTAAGGTAGCCTTACACAACATGGATTAATTGATTTCCACAAATCATCTATCTTCTACTCTTCTAACTTAAGTTTCCCATGCTCCAACGTTGCAAAGCTTTTATGCTTTCATGAGATATTCTTTTCTGAATATTTATTCAAACGAAAAATCCCATGCATGTAACTCACAAAACTCTACTACAAGTCCTTATTTAACATGGAAAATGAAGGACAGAATATATCACAGAGTAAGAGCCAAAACATTTGAAGGAGCTTTCCATTAAAAATCAATATCCTCACAACTCACATCTAACAGAAGTCAAAACTCATAAGACTAACCAACAAAACTCAAAGAATCCCAACAAATATGATGATCACTTACTGAGTAGCCAAACTCATCAAATTATGATAAACATTTTTTTTCCAAGATAACTGCGATTTCATTTTGAGTGCTCGCAGGATCAACTCTGGAAGATATTGTAGTTGTGCTTAAACTTTCTTTTGTTATTTTGTAAGAATTCGCCACTGTAAATTTGTCCTATCAAGAGATGCATATATGTTTTGACTGTCACATCTCAGGTTTATCAGTATTGTAAATTCTTGGGGCGTGACACTAACAGCACGAAGTGTTGTATGATGTTTTTAATGAAACTTTGAATGAAGAAGTACGTATTTAAAATATTAGCTTTGCTTTTTATGTTATTTATAATTGACTTTTGTATGTTTCCAAAATCAAGATTTAGATAAGGAAAATTGTTTCATGCAGGCTGAACCGCATTTTCACATATGTGGTCTAGAGAGTGTAAAGCATCCTTCTTAAAGATGGATGCAAGTAGGAGTTCCATCCAAAAACAATGGAAACTAACGGTCCAATTGTTTTCTTACTAGAATTATTACTTCCAGTTTTTAGAAGTTCTGTTTTTTTGGTTTTCATATTCATGATCTGAATGTTTGATATTACATATCCTTAAAAATGAAGTCCAAAAATCCATCTCAAAAATAGATTTATTAAGAGTAGAAATGCGGGTTTAGCAGCATAAAAACCGGATCCTTCAGATAAAACATAAAGGAAAAAGTTTATGTAGAGCCGAGACTCTAAACAATCAAATTAGAGCACACCTCATAAAAGTTCACGAGAAGAAGTTGTTTTGATGCCCAAATATCCTCAAATTGATCATCTCGCCATCAAGATGCTTGGACTCGAGAAAAAAATAGATTTCAAGTTTTGAAAATATTGCATCTTGTAACGCATTTTTGGATTGTCAATTTTTGCGATTTTCAAAATTAATAGATCTTCTTAATGTACACTAATTTTGAAGCTTTAAAATTTTTAATTAAAGATAAAAATATATATAGTTAAGGCTATAACGAAAATTTCTAGTATTGAAATCACATTGGGCTTTACTTTGATTGTTTAGAGCCTCGGCTCTATACAAACCGTACCTAGACGTGGTGCAGTTTGTATAGATCCTAGGCTCTAAACAATCAAATTAGAGCCTACCTTCAAATTGTGTCTCGAAATGTTTTTTCAATATTGGAAATCTTTGTGATAGCCTTAAAATATATTTTCATCTTTATTTACAAAAATAGGTTAGATCGACAGATCTATAAAACTTGAAAATCTTGAAAGTTGACAATCCAAAAATGCCTTACAAAATATACTATTTTCAAAACTTGAAATCCATTTTTTTCTCATGTCCATGCATGTTGATGTCGAGATGATCAATTTGAGGATATTTAGGCATCAAAACAACATCTTCTAGTGAAATTGTTGAGCTAGGCTCTAATTTGGTTGTTTAGAGCCTCCGCTTTATATAAACTTTTCCCTTTTAAGTAAGGATGTAGTTTGTACAGAGCTGATGCTCTAAACAATTAAATTAGAGCTCACCTTCAAACAGCGACGAGAAATGTGGTTTCAATGTTGGAAAGCTTTGTGATAGCCTTAAAATATATTTTCATCTTTAATTATAAAATTTAAAGCTTAAAAAATAGTGTAGATCATGCAAATATATGAAAACTTGAAAATCTTGAAAATTGACGGTCCAAAAATGCGTTATAACATGTACTATTTCCAAAACTTGAAATCCATTTTTTTCTCACATGCATGCATCTTGATGTCAAGATGATCAATTTGAAGATATTTGGGCATCAAAACAACCTCTTCCAGTAAAAATTTTGAGGTGGGCTTTAATGTGATACTTTAGAGCCTCAACTCTATATGAACTTTTCCCTTGAAAATAGTTTTGAGGTGAGAGTTTTCGATGGAGGTAGAAAATAAGAGATTTTTAAGAAATTTCCAGAGAAACCTAAAAGTAACAACCCTAGTTATTCTCCCTTATATATATATATTGACTACCTAATGGTATGTGCGTTTTATGATGGTGCATTAGAGATCAAAATTATTTTTGATGCATCCAAATTTAACTAAAATTAATATTTTAAGTCCATCAACACCTTTTTTATGGGAAAATTTTAATAAGTTATTATATCTAGCTAATTTTTACTTTATTTCCTATAACTAATTTTATTTCATAAAGTTTTTAACTTATTTGTGATTTTCTAACAATTGTTTTGATGATCAATGCGGATTTGTGCTATGCAGGAGTTCCTATAATATTTGGATTGATTTTAAAATTTGTATAGGGAGAAAGATCTAAGTAAATTAAATGAAGGCCACAGTTTTTATGGAGCCAACCTGCATATTGTAGAAATGGAGGCTTGGCAATAAATATATTTTTTAAATATAACTTAATCTTAATTTTTAGATAATATATACTTTCTAACATGGAGATAATGAATATGACAAATAAATAAATTGAAAACTAAAAATAATAAATATATTAAAAAAAACCTTTGGACCGTTTTTAGATAGACTGTATGGATGATTTATACCTCTAGACCTCATATTGTAGAAATGTAGTCCAGCCCGCATGAAACAATTTTCCTTAAAGGAATGGAAAAAATTTGATTTGATTTCCCTTCAAAACAAAAAAAATGGAAAAAAGTTGATTTGATTGGAGGTCCCCTCGTGATTGACTTATTGTTGGAATAGTGATGAGAAAATTGTGTTAGAAAGCAAATTAAAAACGGTAAGTTAACCCCAATTAAATTATTATTATTATTATTATTTTTTTTTTTAGAATATACAAATACCCCCCAAGTAAAAGAGGTACATTTTTTTGACATAAATACCCTTTTTCGTATATAAAAATTTAATTTTGGCTGGACATTCACGTGAGTTTACATGGGCTACCAGACCGCTCTTTAATATTACTGGACCACACTTTGGCCCTATTGCCAGACGGCATGGGCCTGTTGTTGGACCGCATAGGCATACTGTTTGACCACTCTTTAGCAATGCCGGACAGTTCTTTGTCAGTGTTGGACCGCCCCTTGTACCGCTGGACAACTATTGTTGTTTACTAGATTGACATTACACTGTCGGACCATCTTAAGAGTACACCGTACCACCTTTTTGTGGGAGAGAGGAGAGAGAGACATAGGTAAAAGTATGGGAGGATATTTTAGATTTTTTATTTTTTTATAGGTTGGAGAGTATTTGTTAAGAAAGTATATTTTGGAATAAAAAAAAAAAACTATTTGATTGGGGGTAACTTGTATAAAAAGTCTAGCCTTCGAAATTATTTGTAATTTTCCCAATTAAAAACTCCGAACTCTTATTTATTCTCCCCATAGTGAAAATTTCTGCTCTCTTTGATGTGTCATACAAAGCTTTATCTTACCTTTATGGACAGAACTGAAAATGACTGCCCAAGAATGGTTATAAGCAGTCGCATGCGGACCACCCTTTTGGGGTAAAATAGATTTTAGTCTATTTTACCTTTTTCTTTCAACAGCTAACCCTAGACCTCTCTATTGATACTCTAGGACTGTTTACAAAGAGCTAGCTTAGGTACAGACTCACCGGATTAGTTGGAAGCTAAGGTACTAGGAAGTTCCAAAGGAAAACCTCATAATCAACTCTTAGTTTATTTTGGTAAATTTAAAGGGATTCATCATAAAGGTAAGTAGTACTACTGCCAAATCGTCGACCCATTATTAAGATTTTTATCTATTTTTGGTAGTTAAGTAGTAGGAATTGAATTTGAGAGGTAGTATTGCAACTATCAATTGATATCCAATCGAGGTTAAGCCCAATTCTTTATCAACTCTTCGTCTTCTCCTCAATTCTAATTTTATATTAAAAAATAATCAATTTCGCACCTTTAGTCTTCTCCTCAATTCTAATTTTATATTAAAAATAATCAGTTTCACTTTAGACTTGCGATGGATATACTCATGCTCATAAGTATTATTTTAAAATCAGGCAATTTCTAATTTGGTTCGTTAATATGGATGGGAATCGGCAGGGACCGAATTGGTTATAGGATGGACCGAATTGGTTATAGGATGGTATGGGTCTTAATGCGGTTCTTCTTAAACCTCACTTTATATAAATTTTTTTTAAAAGTTTATTCAATATTTTTAGGCCTTTTCTAAATCTCCACCCTATAAACCATTTATTTTCATTTTTATTTATTTATAAATATTTTTTAGATTACTTATTCGAACTAATTTCAATATGGAGCACCGATTCAGCCCTACGACACATATACGAGCAATCCGCCCTCGAGTTTTGAAACACTTTCCAAAAACTAAAGATACATTTTACCATTCACTATAATAGGGCCCTTCATGGGGAATATCCCCATAAATAGCTCACTTAAATTTGGACTTCTATAGCTCCTTTTACTAGAAAAAGACTGGACTCGCGTCTCTCATTTGTTCAACAACTGCAGCTTCTAACGCGTGCACCTCATTTTGCCCAATAATAAAAGACATGCCTCAATTTGAGCTTTCCCTTGGATTCCTACTTTAAACCTGAAAAATCTCAGACAAAACCCCTCTCTCTCTCTCTAAAAGTGTGAAAGTCGGTTTCTCTCACTGGAAAGTAAAAGAGACCCATTTGTTCAGTCATTTGCATATATGGTCTCAAATCCTCAGCCAAGGAGAGGGCTTCTGTAAGGAAACAAAGTGGGTTTCTCTCAGTAGAATCTGCAGAGGTTGGCAATGGCGGGTTACAGGGCTGAGGATGACTATGACTATCTATTCAAGGTGGTTTTGATTGGGGACTCCGGTGTGGGTAAATCCAACTTGCTCTCTAGGTTTACCAGGAATGAGTTCAGTTTGGAGTCTAAGTCCACCATCGGGGTTGAGTTCGCTACAAGAAGTTTGAATGTTGATGGAAAGGTAATCAAGGCTCAGATTTGGGACACTGCAGGACAGGAAAGGTATTTCTAGGGCACCCCATTTGTTGTTTCCTGTTCTCTTTTATTTATTTTTGCTTTTGATTTGTACTCTCGGCTTTGCGTTCGCGGTGTGGGTTTCGGATGGTTTCGTTTTTATTTTTTGTGTCATGGGGTTGGAATGTTTCTGCTAATGATGTAGCATGCTAGGGTTTCCAGGATGGGTCCTTTCTTTTAATCTTTCTTTCCCTTTTAGAATTGATGCTATGAAATACGGTTTGGGGTTTTAGGGGTTGTGATATGTAGGTACATTTGCCTTTACTGTTGTAGTCTATTTGCATTCATTTGCATGAACGTTTTTCATTTGTGCTTCTGTTTGTCTGGTTGGATTATTAGTTTTTGTTTTGCTAGTAATGAAATGTGATATTAGATCTATGTTTCTTAAGTGTTGTTCTTGCTTCTTAGTGGGTAATGTGGTTAGATTTGGTTGTTTGTTGTTCTTCATTTTTACAATGTATATTTTACATATTCATGGCTAGTAATCTTCACTGGAAAACCTTAGATCTGTGTTTATGATGTTCTTTACTCAAAGGTTTGAGTTTGGAGGATGTAGCTGACCACCTAAATTCACACACAAAAAGTGGCGTGCTAAGAGTGGGCTCTTAGGTGGGGGTCATGACAATGGAAAATAGGGTTAAACCCTGGGTCATCATTAGTCTGTTTGTTACTTCTTAATTTTTTGTAGCAAGGGCTAGTTACCTAAATATATAAACGAATTTAGATCTTTACATTGTTAACTTTTTCCTTAAAAAATAAATAAATTTGATATTTACATTTGGGAAATGAAGATTTAGTGAATGATCCAGTTTTGGTGCATCATGGGATGCACCTCTTCTGTTTTGTCCTGTGTATTCTTCTCCATCCATATATGGATGATGCAGATCACATCCAAGAACAAGGGAGGGGGAATGGGGAACTGGAAGCCATAACTGCCCTCTTTTTACCCAATTCTGCCCTCTTTCATTTTTCTTTTATTTTTAACTCTTATTTCTGTTTGCCATAGGTTAATCCTTCTCTCCAATGGTTTCTTTTGCAATGGCTTCTCTCTCTCTCTTTCATCTTTGAATCTTTTCTTTATGCAATGAACGCCATTGTATATTTGATGTCTCCCTCCCATGCGCTCATCTCTCTCTCTCTCTCTCTCTCTTTCTCTCTCCTCTGGTTTATCTTTCTACACCAAACATGAAATGGTGTCCCTCTGTTCACAAAGGGCACAAGTTCTATTGTCCCAAAAACCCGTTTCAGTTTCTACAACCCAAAAACCAGCTACCACTCAATCACTCATATCTAACAATCAAAGTAAGCTAGAAAGGATGCATAAGAAATAGAAAACCCTAAACATTAGCAAGACAATCACTATTTTGTTGGATTCAGATTGGGTGGTGTTTTCTGGCCAAAAAGCTAGATTTCGGCTAGTTACTTGGCTGTCTGTGTCGATCTAGAGAGGCATTTCACCAAACTATCAACAATTCTTAAGGAACTGATTTCCACTATTGCCATCTCCACAATCTCTCTCTCTCTGTCCCCTTGGCGCCCGCCCGTTTTTTATTTTGAAGAGAGCAATTTCTCCCCACTTCAATTCTAGAGGGAGATGAGAAGAGAAAACTTCTACTTTGATTTTATAGAGACACATGTAGAGAGACCGGGAGACATCAACCGCTTCGATTTAATAGGGAACATGTATCAATTGAAGCATTCAAAATCTAGTTATATACATACTTTGAACAAATAAGCTAACCGCTTCTTCACTCCGGATTACAAAAAACCCATTTCCATTCCCTCTACCATGCCTCTACGTCCATGTGGTGGCCTTAAGATGCTTGCCCCATTGTCTCTGTAAACTGGAAAGTTACTGGATTCTTGAAAATTTTGACCGAATTTTCATTGGAAAAGAAGCTAGTCATTAGTGCTATTCCTGCGATATACACCACTGTATCTATTCTGACCACTGGAAATCTTAAACTCTTTGTTTTCACATTGTCGAGAATCAAAAGCTGTCTCTGAAAATTCCCTTCTAGTAGTCTCGTAAAAAACCCATGAGCAAATGCCTTGGAAGAGAGAGAAGAGAGAGGGAAACTGGGGTTCCCGGTTGGTCTCTTGGAATGTGCATGAGATTTGCATTGTCTGTTCATATGGATAGTGCAAATCTCAAGGGGTGTGCAACCCTCGACAACCAAATACTTTTCCTATAGTGAATAGTTGGGAAGATATATTACTTGGGGTTCAAGTTAGGAAAAAATAAAGTCATGCACATTCTTTAGAAGAACTTTCAGCAAGCGCCTATGCGACCAAAGGGCACTAGGCTGCACGTCTAGGCATGGGGGCCCTCTCTAGGTGCTAGTTCATGTGCAATCGCATAGGCAGCCCAAGCAAGCACCTAGGTGGCTGCCTAGCAGCTAGTCCTAGGCAGGTGGACAGGCGCCTTTTGTGCAATAAAAAGGCTGTTAAGGCCATTTTGGGTCTTTTTTTGATATTTTTGATAGAAAATATGGGTTACGTATTGGGGAATTTTTTTTTTTTTTTATATTTCAGAATAACTCTTAAGAGTTTTAATTTTTAGAGGGATACTATTAGTTGATAACCTTTAATAATTAATAAAAATTATGTTCATCAAAATTGTATAATACATATACTAAATTTCATCATCATCCAAGCCTTATCCCAATTATTTGGGGTTGGTTACATGAATCCTGTTCCTCCATTCTTCTCTTTCAAGGGCCATACTCTCAATAAGACCAAAAGTCACTATATGTTTTTCTCATTACTTCCATCTATTTCCTTTTAGGCCTTCCCCTTAACCTTTTAGAGCCCTCCACTAGAACCAAATCATGCCTCATAACCGGTGCAGTATTAGTCTATATTGCACATGGCCTGCCCACCTAAGTCTACTTTCCCTCATCTTATCACCTATTGAAGTCACACCTAAGTTCTCTTCCATACCTAAGTTCCCTCGTATGTATTCATCCCGAATTCTATCATTTCTTGTCTTGCACTTATCCATCTCATCTCAGCTATGCTCATCCTATGGATATGTTGTTTTTTGATTGCCTAATATTCTATCCCATAAAGCATGGCTGGTCTTACAACCATCTTATAGAACTTCCACTTTAGTCTCAATGATATCCGGCGATCACATAAACTCTGGATGCACATCTCGACTTTGCCCATCCAGCTCTAATTCTATGTGCGACATCTTCTTCAATCTCTCCATTCTCCTAGATTATCGAACCTAGATATCAGAAACTATTTCTTTTAGGTATTTCTTGACCATGAATCTTCACTACTTCCTCGTTTCTACACCTATTATTACTAAACTTGCAGTTCATATATTTTGTCTTAGTCTGTCTAATAAATTCTTGTGTTGTGCATTTGTTCGTCATCATCATGGGATCGTAGCCTTTTGTTTGAATAGTCTCTAGATACAACCATTTTATAACATATGGTAGATGCTCCCATAGTGTATGTTACCATATTTGATGGCCTTTAATAATTTGTCAATAGTAGAGGGAATGAATGTTGTTCCATTGTTGATAATTTGTTCCCTCGATTTCTACTACTTAGTACAAAGTTGTAAAAATGCCATGGAGATATAAATTTGTAAAATTATTTCCAGTAAGAAAAGGCTATACAAAAGAAATCAAATTTGTTATATTTTTGAAGGGCAGTTTCTAAGGACTTCACAACCTTCATATACAGCCACACCATACCCTTGAAGAAACAAAGATCTCCTCTCGTTTCTATTTCATTGTCTTTTATATTACAACCTCTTGTATTGGACATATGGATTAAGGTTTTATACTTTTATTAGAGACTTGGAGTTTACATGACTATGTCTATGTGCATGTAATTGTGTATCATGCCCATGTGTCACTATGGAGTATGGATTGGAGAGTTGGAGACTAATACGCAATGGACTTGTTTATGTTTTTTTCACTATATTATCAATGATTTGAAGTTTTGAACATGTTTCAACATTCATGCGTATTTTTTTGCATGGAAAAAGTTAGGTGAAATACATATAGATATGCCAAAAAACAAAAACGAAACTAGCATAAATATCTGCATATATGTCCGTTTGGACAACACTTATATGCATGTTTCTAAAAAATTTTCACCTCAGGGCGCCTGCCTAGGGGCTGGGCGCTAGGCTGGCCGTCTACGCCTAGTGTTTCTTGAAACGGTGGTTGTGCAACATGTGTAGATATCATTTTACGTGCTAGGCCAGATTCATTGTGGGGAATAAAATAAATGTCCATATTTTGTCCGTAATTAGTTATTATTCCAGTATGAAGTGCTCATTCCTCTCTCTTGTGGTGTTGAAGCTATTATTCTTTTTTAGGTGTTGTTCTTTGCAAGGGTAAGATCCTCTTATTCCATAGACCTCATCTGCTTCTCCATCTTCTACTGTTCTCTTTCTTCATCCCTTGCCACTCTATGTTCCTCTCTATAATCCGTTTTCATTTCTTCACATGCATCCAACAACTCGAGTCCTAGTTCACCCATAAAACCAGGACCCAATCATCTCTATTCTTCGGCTGGTTTTTAATCATCTTATTCTCCCAATACCTTAGTTTATATAGTTCCTGAGTGGGATTGTTGGTGGTTGGGTTGATAAACTATGGTTTTGTTGGATCCCTTAAAGACCATGGTTTGGACAATTTTACTTGATTGCTTACTGCAAAATTTTTCCTTACAAGTTTTTTATTCTCTTATCGGAATTGTTTCTTGAACTTTATTTTCTCAAAAAAAAAAAAAGAAAAACGTTTTTTGAACTTTAATGTTTCGGCATTCTCTTTGATCCCTCGGATACCACATTGTCTTATGCGTTCAAATTCTTCTTGCACATTGCTACATGTTTTTGGCTTTAATGGAAACCAGTGGTGATCATAGATGTCCCATGAACATAATAATTTTAATCACACAAATATTTCCCACATTGCAAAAAACTATCGTGGTACGATTATTTGCCCCTTTGATGTGGTGCT